AAAAATATATTGATCTGGTGAACTGATAACCGCCCTCTTAGACACGTATCTGTATTATCATTTCCATCAAACGCCTCTGTTTATTAACGTATTACAAATTTTATAGCCTCTTGAAATAGTTGAGACAAAACTCCGTGGTCGTAAATATGAGGCGATTATGGACGAGAAGGAAACAGGTGACATGAGGTTTTTAATGACTTACATATATACATATATATATTATATATATAAACTATCGACCCTCCCCGGCTTGGCACGGGTGCAATGTAGGTACTAATGGGACGTGAGTTTAATATGCACATCCGTGTGGTGACGGATTAAGAATACAAATTAAATGAAATGATATTTATTTCTGCAAGTAAATCTTTGCAGATACTTTTACCACTCGGATTTTACAGCTACAAGGCGCCGGCATTTTCTAAGACTCGCTCTGGGAAGAAACGCGTACGAAACTGCGTAGTTCGAAAGACCTAAGCGTACAAGAATGGTAAGCGACGTTATTTTCTAAAATGTAAAGATATATGATTTCAGACTTCTTAGACGACGCTATACCAGCTTGTGTTATGAATTGTAGAATTTGTGTATATTATAACACATACACGGAATATACACATACGAGTACACGGAGCAATAGACAGAGGTGTGTTAAACGCTCACATCTGCCCACTAAAGCTTTACTAATATAATACAACCGAGCATATATATTTCTAAATTAACATGCTTATATATATTTTCTAAATGTCTTATTTGGAATATAGTCAAGTGTACATATACCACCGAAAAATAAAAAGAACCGCAAATGTATAAATTTCCTAGGAAATTTATAAACCTTCGTAGGATTCTAAACGAGAGAAGAAAACCTAACCTTACCTAACCTAACCGGGTTGGGGGGTAATGAGCGAGCCGACCAGCTCGCCTAGGAGGCGGCTCTGAGACTGAAGAAAGCACCGGACTAGAGTTCGGTAAGTTTATCAATTTGCAAAAATGTTGGCGTAAAATAATACAGTTTATATATCATTTAGAATCCTACGAAGGTTTATAAATTTCCTAGGAAATTTATACATTTGCGTTTCTTGTTATTTTCCAGTGATATATACGTATATATTGTAAGTAGCTTCATATAGAAGCATCCACACCAATGCGAATAGATCATCAATTTATCATCAAGTAAGCTAAGCTAAATTATGCAGACACAGAAAACATCTTAGCAATTTTAAAATGAGATAATTTTAACCACAATTAAGTCATTAAGCAATACGAAATATAAATCTGTGTATACAAAACCAGTCTCAAGTAATTTACATTATTAAACTATTAGTACTTTAAAATATTTACGTCCTGCATCTAACATCATAGTCAAGCGACTGTCTGAAACACAGGGCCTTCCTTTCTAGGGTATACCATGTTCCCCGGCTATTAGTACCCGGCGAAGGCGTGCGGTTTTAGTCGGTTCGAGTCCGACATGCCACCGACAGGTGGTATCCGAGGGGATTTCCGCACGGAAAAAAAAAAAAAAAAAAAAAAAAAAAAAAAGGTCACACCTAGCTCAGGCCGTTTGTAAAAGAATTTGTAATAATTTAATTTCACTTTTTTACACGCTTATTATTAGCTTCACCTGTATGTTTGTTTTAATGTAATGTGTAATTTTGACTGACTTTAAACGGTCAGAATTCGTTCAAACTTTGTAGATATATCGAGGACCGATGACAATACACTTTTTCAAATAAAAATAAATAATATTAAAAAAAAGTTAACTTTTTTACTATTGACAACACACCCAAATTTTTTTCAAATTTATTTTCTATTTTTTAGTTTAGTTTAGTTTTTATAAACTACTAGCTGACCCGGCAAACGTTGTTTTGCCATATACATTATTTCTAGGAAATATTTAAAAAAAAATTTAGGTGTGGGTCACCCTTGTCATTTAGGGGTATGAAAAATAGATGTTGCCCGATTCTCAGACCTACCCGATGTGCACACATCATCATCATCATCAACAGCCTATACTAGTCCACTGCTGGACATAGGCCTCTCCTTAGAAAGGAGGTTTTGGCCTACTATACCACGCTGGCCAGACGGGTTGGTATAGGGTTTGTTTCAAGTTTTCCTTCTCTCTGCAGTGTTGTTGCCCTGCGTAGTTTTTTCCCTTAGTCGCCTCTTACAACACCCACGGGATTAATAGGGGTGGTGACACTCTGTATTCTTAATTCGTCACCACACGGACAAACACAAAATTTCGTAAAAATTGTTAGAGCCGTTTCGGAGGAGTACGGGAACGAACATATGTATATAAGATTTTCTCTTGCACATTTTAGAATAGTTATATGCCAGTTTTATGTTAGCTTTAGTAATAAGCTTTATTTAAGAGTTGAATGGCAATAAGGTTTTAATCATATATAAAACTAGCTGAGACCCGCGGTGTTACCCGCGTTTGTTGTTGTTGTTAACAGATAATTGTGACTGTCAATTAATTATAGACCAATAATTTACAATAAAATAAAATTGCGACTATAATTAAAAATTTAAGCTATCCTATCTCTTAAGTTGGACCAGAATGCTCACGGTGTGCCAATTTAATTTAAAATCGGTTAAGTAGTTTAGGAGTCCATCGCGGACAAACATCGTGACAGGAGATTTATATATATTAATTAATTAATGTAACCAAGACCTTCTTATTCTGTAAATAAATTTTATTTTATTTTTATTTTATCACTTTCCAGCCTAGTTTCCAATTTTCCAATTTTTTTGGGGTTCGGTGTAATGAAAAATATTGCAAAGGGGTTTGTTTGGCTGATTTCTGGTATAACCAGCGGCCTGCTTTGGTCAAGCAAGCACTTTCCTTGGGAAAGTGGTAACTTCGGTAGGGCCGGCCCATTTTTACCAGAGCATGACTCAATCAACCGTCCCTGCTGGAATTCATTGGGAGAGGCCTATGTCCAGCAGTAGACAAGCATAGGCTGAGGTGATGATGACTCGAGTACAGTAATTTAGCGAAAGTATGTAATGTAAAATTACAGAAGTAAGATAATTTAAACATGGTTTCTGGTATTTTAAAACACATATTTAATACAAATGATCAGGTTATCATCACAAATGATCATTACCTACAGCAAAAGCAAATAAAGTAATAAAAACACAGACGGTCGTGGCGCGAGGGAGATGATCTAAATAAACAAAGTATCCGTCTGCAGATTGTGATGCGCAGGCGACGCGTGCCGACCCCCGCCTGACAGACGTCAACAACCCTTGGGAAAATAACGATTGTATTGTCTTCCATCTTTCCTTTAAAATTACTTGGCTTATTATATGTAAATGTATCACATATCAAATTTTATAAGACGATTGATTTTATAAGATTTAAAACACCACAACAAAATCTATGCATTTATACTCGTATCTAGTAGTAGGTTTTTTTCTAAATATAGTTTTTTAATTTTCATCTTACATTTTATTGATTTTATGCATTGTAATTGTAATATATTAGTACTGAAAACGGATCAAGAATACGGAGTGTCATCACCCCTGTTTATCCCGTGGGTGTCTTAAGAGCCGATTAAGGGAGCAAACTCTGCAGAAACCCTATACCAACCCGTCTGGCCAGCGTGGTATAGTAGGCCAAAACCTGCTTTTTAAGGAGATGCCTATGTCCAACAGTGGTCTATTAAAGGCTGTTGATGATAATGATGTAGGTACTGAAATACTAATACTAAATTTATAAATTAACTATATAATTGTGAATATACTCGTAACAATAATTATTATAATTTTTACTGAACTATTTAATTAATTAATCTTATGTAAATTTAAAGATGTTTTTGTTGTGCATACTGTATTCGCCTGTTATGCAATTCGTTTTAAGTTCAAAATTTGTGTCACTTGTAATGAATTATTTAGTGGATCAAATAAAAAAATAAGAAAAACACAAGGTTTTAAAGACGACTGCACAGATGGCGCATGGTGGTTTAAGCGGTCACTTCGCTGTTTCCTACTGCGCTGAGTTATGTTGTGAAAAATACTGTGTAATCCACAAATTGTTGTTCTGAGTCTGGGTGTTCTTTGTGTGCGTTTTATGATTTTTTGTTAAGTCCTCCTAAGTTAATCAATCTCACCTGGACGAAATGATACTTTTGCCAATTCTCAGAATAAGACTTCTCAGGATGCTCAAATACGGCCTTCGATTTCACTATTTTTTTGTTAATGTTTTATGTTTGGTGGTTCACAAATTTTGTTCTAATATACAAATAACTTTCTATTCATTTCGCTTAGAATGTTGTATTATGGACAAAACTATTGCAATATTTGCAAACTCGGTTATAAAGAACAAAATGTTGATAACTGCATCTCTGGTATCGGCGTCCGCGCAACAATTGTGCCAGATTATTCAATCAAGCGCTTTCTCCAGCTGCTGACCTCGCGCCCTCTGTCCCTCCCTTGACTAAAGCTGTTGGCACTGACTAACATTCTCTTGTTGGCAGCGTTATTAAAAGATTTGTCAACATTATGTTACACTGTCAACAAGTTTTGTCAAACTGTTTTGCAAACAAAAATTCTGAAAAAATATCTTAAACTTTGGTTTAAGTAAGTTAGGTCAGGCAAATAATTGTTATTCATGATTAAGATAATTTTAGGTTTAGAATTCGGTCAATATTTTGACGTAAACTGGAAAAAGGTTGGTGGTAGACAACATTCAAACCAAGTAAGATGGTGTATTCACTTCTTCTAAATTAGCACATTATAATCCACCCCAGCTGATGTCTGCCCAAGCCTTAAGATAGCTTCATATTTACTGCACATAAACATTATGGTAGCAGGATTACTTACGATGAAAGCCCGTAGCGGTAATATGATAACTCACAACCATGCAGTATCCGTCACAGCAACATATTTACGCATACTTCCATAAAAATAAAAACAAGTCAATTTGTACTTATCCAAGATAAATTGTAATTGTATGAACAGATAGTAATATTTCACATAATTCTTATTTTAAACGTTTCAAACTACATCAACAAAACTGCTTGGACTCCAAACGTGTTCTTACATTTTGGATAATACCGACTTTTGTTAACAAAATCGTCTATATCCCTATCTGAAGTAAGAACCCTTTTAGGTAGACGAATACTTGGCATCGTTCTAATAGGTGGACAGTGCCTACCACAGGGTTTCCGCATATACCTTGGACAAAGATCCGCACAATGCCTCACAGGCATATCGTCTTCTTCATTACCATACTGAAATTCTTTTGGATGCTTACAATTATGATGGTACTTCGAATAATGCCTATGTGAAAATGGAATATGAGGGCGTGAACTACAACATTTGCTCTCTTTGCATCTAGGCATTTTTATTTTTGCTACTGGACAAGAATCTGTGCCTTGGTCAACAAAATCTTCACTAATCCCCTCATTATAAAGATTTTTTACTCCTGAACTTGTTTCCTTATAATTAGACTCTATAGACATAGGTTCATTACGTCTAAAAAAGCATTGAAGGGATTGCTTGGGTTCTTCCCGTTCGACATCTGAAGTAACACACTGACAACCGGTATTTACTTTAGGAACTGTTTCATCATAAAACTTTGGTGTTGCTCTTCTGTAAGCGTATTCAAACTGCAATGAACTGGTGCTTTTTTCCGTAACTGTGATAGGTCTACAGTAAATTGGCTCCTGTACTTGCGTGCTCTCATCAGTTTCGATCGTTGTAAGTATAGTAGTATTTACACCACAGTCTGTTTTTGAACACAATGGTCCCCCATCACACTCAGCATCTACCAACTTGGAAGTCATTGTTATACCGTCGCAGAAGGTTTGAACGTTGCCATCGAAAACGATTTGTTTCTTGTTGTATATTTTTGAAGGGCATCGCGGATTCGTACATGTCTTACATTTGCATGTAAAGGTTGATTTGTTTCCCGTGTCTGTAGGAGAACTTTGCGATGTGGTAACGTCCAAACGGACGCAATTTTGAACCTGGGACACAAACGACGGTAACCTTTTAACATCTTGCTTAACAGTCTTTGAGTTAAACAATCTATTAGTATGTGAGGTTATGGAGAAAGGGCCGTATCTAGACGTTGCTCTATAGGAAGAACCAAACTCATTTGATTCGCTCCGACAGTTATTGAAATCACCGAATTGGCTAATCAGAGGTTGGACCAACCTTGCCTTGGAACTCTCTATGGCCATTTGCGTCAGATCTTTAGAACTGGACAACATTGGACGGAATTGTCCTCTAGCTCTTCTCGGCGCAGTTTCATTTCCATATTCTTGATCTTCCACTTGTATGGGCCTCCGAGATACAAAGCCTTTTGAGAAAATACTTTGCCTGTGAGGCATATTGCTTTATTTGTCTTGACTTCTTAATTTTTAAGTAACCATTTTGTTGTCACACATGACAGTTTGCTAAAAAGTTTCTACAACAAAGAGATTTGCTCACTTCAAAAGCTTCAAGTAGATGTCCAAACACAATGTTGTCTTAAAACACTTTAGAAACAGCTGAGGCGGAAACACCTAGTTGATCGCGAACCACTTCAATTCATATCCTTGTGACAATAAAGGATTGAGTAACATATTTCCTTACAAAGTTATATTTAAACAACATTTTGAAATACCAACCATATGTCACAGTATCAAGAATCATAATCAGTAAACTAGACGCAAAGGTCTCTCGGTAGAAGTTGGGAATCCGGGCCAGCATAAATTAGACTTCCCTTCCTCTCTTGCGTCTGGATCGTGGCGGTGGCGGAGGGGGGCTATCGGCTCAATTTAAAGATCTTATATCACGGAGGGGAGAGGAGTTAAGGAGGCAGATGCGTGCAATTGTCCGAGTCAAAGATCAGAGGAAGTGGCCGGTGCGCACGCGCCGTACAGCTGCGAGCTCGCGTGCTCACGCGGCTTTCTTAATTATTTGGTATTTGTCACGTTGATGCTGAGATGATAGATGAGCTCATAATAATTAGAAGAATCAGATGACCAACAAGGCTAAAAGGAAAAAACAATCACTTAAATAAAATTTTAATTAAAGGGCTCTCACTGCCCAGCAATAATCAGTTGAAGAACAGGTATATTACCTTAGGATTCATGAACTATTTTTTACACTCTTCAATTACAACGCATAAGAAATATATTTTTTCCTTTGGTTACCTATTCTTGCCTATTTCCATATAAATATACCAATATTTTCCCTCTTACCAAAGGACAATGGCAGGTCCCCATACATAATTTTATTTGAACTGAAATGTTAGCGTTTAAATATCAAAAAATCCTTAACACTTGAGAATTTATTCTTGACCATTCTCATATCAAAATTACTTGCGAAAGAAGTCTAGGAAAAAAGATATTGGATTTTGAATGTTTCGAGGTTAAGTACTAACATATTGTTAATGTTTTGTTTGAAACTAGATGGCGTTGTGTGTCAGATAGCCGAAAATATTATTTTCATTATTATTACAGTATATGAAATAAAAAAAATAAAAGCATAACATCTATTCGAGTTTAACACTAAATTAAACAAAAATAAAATAACAAACGTGGTGAGTCCGGAACTTGTCAGGATCTAAACCACAGATTAAGAGATATGTACTAAACGACGACCTATCGACATTTTGAAAATATCGATGTATGTCTATTTATGTGCCGTTATCAATGACAATGTATTTTTCTCATCACACTGTGTAGTGGAAAATAACGTAACTATATTCTATTTCTTTAGTGTGTTTAAAATCGTTTAAAGAGAGTCAAAAATATTTTAAATCATTTCTAATTATGTTGATTCAGTCACTCTACCGTACGAGTGAAGACGTGGGCAGAAGCAAATTCATAATCATAATAGTGAACCTTCGGTAAATATTTCAGCCAAAGCTATAAGAATCGATTATCGACAAATTATTCCATAATATAATATTGCCACCACGCATCCCTAGTCTTAGGTCAAATAAAATCTTCAAAATATCTTATCTCTTATAAGACTTATACAACACATGGTGGTGTAATGATAAATCATAGAAAAAATTTTGATTAAGTTTACTGTGACTCGATTTTTTAAACGCTTAAGTTTTAGGTAAATATGTTTCTGCCATTGTTCTTTCCGGTTGGCGGTATTAGACTAACGTGAGTGTGGGTGTTGATTTGTAAGTAAATTAAGGAATTTATAACATTAAATACCTAAATATTTATACTGTATATGTACTCGCAAGTATATCCTGTGTCGGCTCCTTCATTCTTACAAACCAAACATGAGTAGTTGAGAAGGGCAGCTCAACGCAGGTATAGATACTACAAAGCTCGTCGAATTTGGAGAGACAAACTGAAGGTACCGCTCCTTAGTCGTTATAGTCCTCGGTTCAGGGCAGTTATTATGTGTACCATTGTGCACTTAAATATGTTCTTGGATCATCATCATCTGCTACTGCCACTGCTGGACATAGGCCTCTCCCATTGCATACCACTTAGAACGATAAATAGACAACTATGATTAAAAAATAAACTTTTTAGTAAGTGCTTTGAGGTCTGTTTTTCTTTTGACAACTCCCGCACTAGGAAAAATCCTGAGTTGCGGGGGATTTCATAAACATACATGAAATAGACACAAAGAACAACCAGACTCGGAACAACAATCTTTGGATTACACAAAGTGTTGTCCCAAGTGAGGATCGACCTTACAACACTCAGCGCAGTAGAAAACGGCGAGGTGACCACTTAAACCACTACGTCATCCGTGCAGTGCGGGTCGAACTTACACTTCACTATTAGATATATCCAATAAAGCTGCATTAACAAAAAAATGTATATAAAATGTAATAAAATCGTTATAAAACACACGGTGGGCTACAATTAAAATTACTCCGCGATAAACATATAGGCGACATAAAAGTTTTATTACCTATAAAATATAATGTGTCCATTCTAGATAGTTGGACAGCTTCTAAAACAATTAGGTTTATGTTTTAGGGTGATATTGATATTGTTTGGGCGCATTAGGGGGCGGCGAGCGTAGGCTGTCTGGGTTAAGGCGGTGCTCTTCGCAATAGTAGGTACTCTATACTTCCCCTGGGCCTGATTAGACATGGTGTCAATTCGGGGAGGACCTGAAATAGCAGGTCGGCCGTCGGGGTGCTTTTTAGTGCAATCACCACATACTCCTGGCTCCTGAGTCCCCGAGGAGCAGGAGATCCGAAGGGATTTGCCACCCCGTCAACAAAAAAAAATGATACTCTATACTTTGAAGGACCGTAGCACCTTCTGAAGAGTACACTATAAAAACTATATATATAGTTAAATCGCTGTAATTACAAATTATATAGGTAAACATAGTAAACTTTAAAAAAGTGACATTGTGCCTACATCTTGAGGATTTTTTTAAATTCCCACATCTATCTCACAGACGGCTGTCTGATACAAACCTAGGCAGAGGAAACTAGTCTGGTGGTGTTAAAAATCTCCCTTTCTACAGTCGGTTAAAAATGTTTTTTTATTTATTTATTAAAGGTTCACCAACAACAGTTTACATTAATTCCTTGAACTAATACATGCCATTTAGAAATAACAATGCAACAGCCACTTATAGGTAAACACCGCTTATGCTTTAAAAATAGATAAAAAGGTTGACTGTTTCAAAACAATGAATGAAAAAATCTCACAAAGGGAAAGTATTAATACAATATTTTAATTTTTTAATTTTCATATTACATTTATTGCGTCATAGCAAATCACTAAATACGGACTTTTTCTTACAAATTGTATCGAAGTGTAAGTCAATGACATCGCTGTAGTGATTCACAACTTTACACATTCTTGCAAAGGGAGAATTGGAACCAAGAACTGTTCTTCCTGAATTACTCGAGTTTGGCTGTTTTCTATGGGCATTACCTTTCAACATTAAAGGTTTAGGTCCAGTATATCCTTTGAATGTTTTGAAATGAATATTTTTCGTCTGTATCTCTAAAAGGATAAAGAATAGAAGAATTAAGATTATTACTTACTTTTTTTATGGAATAGGGGGCAAACGAGCAGACCATGAGCCTGCAACTTAGGAAACACAAGCGCGTTACCAGCCTTTGAAGAAGGAGTACGCTCTTTTCTTGAAGGTTTGAAGGTACGACCTTCGGTCCGGATATACTATGTGATTTCGGCGCGTTGAATTTGATGAGACTTAATTATTTAAAAATAATGTTTACTTTATCACAAAGTCTGAGGCGTATATTACTACGTATTTGTTTATATACATATATTAAAATGATATGTTTCTTCAAAATTGGTTAGAGCTGCAATATATATCACATCACCACTAATATAATCAATGTTAAAGTTGTTAAAGAAAGCTCTAAAAATCTTACTAAAACCTGTTTAGTTTCTCTTTGTGAAATAGGAGGCAAATGAGCAGACGGGTCAGCTGACACAAAGCGACTACCGCCCCCCATGAACGCCTGCAACTCAGAAGTCACAATCATGTACCCGGACTTTGAAGTGGAAGTACGCTCTTCTCCTGAAGGTTTGGAAATCGTATGGGTCCGGAAATAGCACATGCGATAATAAGAATGATACCGGTGATCCAACTCTCCTTTCTTCTCGTAATGTTGACGAGGGCACTCATCATCACATCACATCAACAGCCTTTAACAGTCCACTGCTGGGCATAATCCTCTCCTCAGAAAGGAGGTTTTGGCGTACTATACCACACTGGCCAGACGGGTTGGTTTAGAATTTGTTCCAAGTTTGCCTCCTCCTTACAGTGCTGTTGTCCTGCATAGTTTGGTCCCTTAGTGCTCTCTTACGACACCCACGGGATGAATAGGGGTGGTGACACTCCGTATTCTTAATCCCTCACCACACGGACCACTTTATCGACGAGGGCACTCATTGGCTGGACCGATGCACTTTTGAAGGTTGTCTTGCAGACGTCCGCAGGCGGCGGTAGGCACCAACTATGAAACTTACTTGTTGGCACCCTATGCCTTTGCAAAGATGACTATTTTGAAGAAACCTGTATTTAACAGTATATGCAGCTTATATTAGGTACAGCAATCAGATATACCGTGCCTCGGAGATCACGTTAAGCCGTCGTCGGTCCCGGTTGCCATACTTACATCTGCGGCAATCGTTACGGGTAGTTGGGGCTCTAAAAAATCCGAGAACAGTTTATCTACAGAACTTCGATATCGCCTAGAACTTGGGTTATGAAGGTCAGATGGCAATGCACGAAGAAATCGAAGTTCAGCCGTATCGTAGACCTAAAGCCGACTCCCACCTAGTTTAGGAAAAGACTTGCAGGAGAAGTAATCAGATTATATACAGTATATAGTATTATAGATAGAGAACCAGAAAGATGAAGTTAAAGC